GGGGGGGGGGGGGGGGAGGGGGGAGGACGGACGGCAGCACACATTTTACAAGTGATTGTGGCGACATCGCCGCAATCACTTGTTAACGAGCGGGCGGATTCCCCACACTAAATTTAGTCCTGCCTTCCCAAAGCAGGACTAAATGTAGAAGGCAACTTACCGCCCGGCGCCCGGAACTATATGTTCCAGGCGTCGGGGGACTCCACGCCACTGCGAGGCCTAGCCTCGGTGGCCTTGTGGGGAATCCGGGCCTCGGATGTGAACAGTAAATTGGGTGCCAGTCAGTTTAAAGGAGAACTATGACATGAGTGATTTCCACTCACCTCATAGTTCTAAGCCGACCTGTGACAATGAGACTGTCACAGGTCGGCTCAGTAGAACGGGAGGTGAGGGAACACATACCGGATTCCCTCACCTCTCGATCCTGTCACGGCTCTCTGCCGTGACAGGGGGAGGGGCTGCATTCCCCTCTCACCGATCCGATCTGCCAGCGCTGACTGGCGGAACGGACGGGGGAGGGGGCGGGTACAGCTGTCACTCACGCAGCTGGGCGGATCCCGTCAAAAGAGTCGTGATCCGTCCCGGCTGCGGCGTCTCAGTATACCGCGAGCTGTAGCTCGCGGTATACTGAGCTTAGGGTAGCGGGAGGACGCTAGTTTGTGTCCTCCCGTTACCCTTTGGAGAACTATGGGGAAAAACACTGACCCCATAGTTCTCCTTTAAGTTCTTTCTCAATGCTTTATTGTAGAACAGCCAAAACTGGAAAAAGAGGGTATAGGGCCAAAGATATCCATGGACTAAATAGACTCCAGACTCACCAATTCCTTCCGGCCTCCACAGTGCAGGAATATTTTAGTTGAGCAGAAGATGACCACAACTGGTCAGAAGACATGCTTGAGATCTTCCTTGGGAGAGACACCAGACTTGTTCCTGAGGTCCATACCTGATCTTGGCCTTCCTGGCACTTCCAGCAGACAAATGGCTTCTCTGGTTCTCCATCCCAGACCCCTGACCTCCTACAGACTTCAGGCCTAATTAGCTTCTCCAACTGTGTACCCTACCCCAAGACTAGGCCTGGGGGTGGACTGCTCTGAGCACATGGCAATTCCAGAGTATTATTATTTATTTATTTCTAGTATTTATACAGCATTGACAATTTTATGCAGGCTTTACATAGTTACACATTCACATCAGTCCCTTCCCCTTAGGAGCTTACAATCTAAGGCCCCTATCTCACATGGCCAATTTAGACAGGAGCCAATTAACCTACCAGCTTGTCTTTGGAGTGTGGGAGGAAACCAGAGTACCATGCAAGCACATGGAGAACATGCAAACTCCTTGCAGATAGTGACCTGGCCAGGATTCAAACCAGGGACCCCCAGTGCTGCAAGGCAGAAGCTCTAACCACTACGCCACTGTGCTGCCCTTTTTGTTTGTGCACTTCCCCAGCATGCACCACTGGCCATGAAACTCAGTGATTGGCTGAAGAGACAAAAACACCCCCAATGTTCTCCCATTGGCATGCCCCCTTCTAAGGCCCCATTCACACACGAATCGGCCTGCACGTACAGCTCCGTGCGGGGCCGTACCAAGCAGCTGCCGGGAAGGACAGGTGCTGCGTGTGATTAGTACGCAGCCCCCATCCTTCTCTATGGCGCTACACGGCCGAACGCCACCTTACGCTCACCTCAATTGCAGGTCCGTAGGGGTGCGGGTGAGCGTATTCATACGTCGCCGGAATGGATCCTGTATGTGTCCTGGCCAGAAAACCCGCACCCCTACGGACCTGCAATTGAGGTGAGCGTACGGCCGCGTAGCCCCATAGAGAAGGACGGGGGCTGCGTAGTAATAACACGCAACACCTATCTTTCCTGGCAGCTGCTTGGTACGGCCCCGCACGGAGCTACATTTCTGCTGTGTCACATACTGTACCTTTCAGAACCATACTTGAAGAGTCCTTCAGATGAACTGATAGGCACCAGGGACTGGACGAATGCCCTAAGTTCTTAACCCGATTTCCCTGCAATAAAAAAAAAAAGAAAATATATACAAATTCAAAACGGAGAGACATGCAAGACAATAGATTGCTACATCCTGCAATCAGAGTGATTGAATGAAGAACAATGATATTCGATATGAAAATTCTACCATTGCTTTTTGTTGCGTTGTGTTTTAGCATGCTGCAAGTGTCAGAGTGATGCTGCAAGTGTCAGAGTGATGTTGTAAATGTCAGAGTGATGCTGCAAGTGTCAGAGTGATGCTGCAAGTGTCAGATTGATGCTGCAAGTGTCAGATTGATGCTGGGTTGAGGTTTAGGGTAATCTTAAGGGAAAATTGTGCTTTGTCCATGCAGGGCAAAGCAGCAGGTTCACTTTAAAGCAGCACAAACTATTTGTCTTCACTCCAACTACACTTCATTCAGATGCCAGAGGCAAAGAAAATAGCCAGTACTTCTGGGTATGCAGCAGCATGTGACTCATTCCATGTGACAGTGCTGCAGCTTTGTGATTGGTCCAGCGCTGCCTTATGGGGGGCAGGAAGAGTCCTCAGCTCTGTATAAGCTCTGAAAGGGATAAGATGGAGCTTACACAGAGCTGGAAAGGAGCAATGGAAAGGTGAGTATGTGTTCGGCGGGACGGACATTGAACTGAAACTGTTGCTTTGCCCCGAACTGGAAAAGCACAGGACCTACGCCAGGGCTAGCCAAACTTCGGCCCTGCAGCTGTGATGGAACTACAAATCCCATGAGGCATTGCAAGATTCTCACAGCCACAGACATGACTCCCAGAGAGAGATGCATCATGGGATTTGTAGTTTCCGGAGTTTGCCCACCCCTGACTTACGCTATAAAGGAGTAGACTCAACTTGAGGGTTGAAAAAAGGTGCAAGGTCCCATTAAAGACTGGGTTGAGGTTTGGAGGCTAGTTTTGGTTCCGGTTCACCAGTCGGCAACTCCGGCCCTCCAGTTTTCGTGGAACTACAAGTCCAATGATTCATTGCAAGACTGACAGTTATAGGCATGACTTCCTAAGTCTGTGAACATCCTCAATCATCCAGGTCATGCTATAGCTATAAGAAATTAATTAACTGGACTTGCTGTATTTTTCATGAAGACGCTTGCTGGTAATCCAACTAGCTTTCCCAATTCTGAATTGAAAAGCTAGCCGGATGACCAGTGAAACGTCTTCAAGAAAAATACAGTTGCTTTGATTCATTTCTTACAGATACGACTACCTGAGGCAAAGTCATGTTAGGATTTGTAGTTAAAGCAGAGGGCCAGAGTTGCCCACCCCTGACTTGGTGTATATTGCAGCTTACCAGTTCTGATCTGGTGTCTGAGTAATTGTTCTATTATTAGGTTTTGTTTCCTCTATTTTTACCTGGTGATCCCACCAGTAACACCCTTCCTGTACAATGCTCTCTCGCCATACTGTATCTATAGGCAGGGCGGCCGATAGGGGCGTACAGCCCTCCCGTCCCGGGCCCGGGCCGCATTGCTAATTGCAGTGCGGTGGTAAAAAGTAGTGCATGTGCAAAAAAGGGGTGCCTTTCATTCCCAATGCATTTTGGGATGGACGTGTGTTGCAGCACACTAATGTGTGGTGCTATGCCAAAGAATAGTGCATGCCCTATAAAGGACCCAAGCTGAATTCAAAGCCGTGATATGAGCTGTGTTACTATTTATATAGTGTTTCATAAGAAAATAGAAGGCGTACCTTGATATCTAGGAATGTGACTTTCGGCTGTATCAGAAGTGGCAGTCCAGCCGGCCCCCCTACTGGCTGAACGTCAATGAAGAGTCTATGAGGTCTCACGTACACAGCGCTGCGACTTTCTGCTGCATCATTAATTCTGCAAGAAAAGGACATCATATTCCATGAGAGACAGGAAGGAACGAGGAGCCTGAGAAGACTCTGTCAATGTGCAGGGAGGGAAGAAGTGCATACTGCCGCATTAATGGAAGCAGTTTGAGGATGAACTCTTTCACTTTGATATGATTAATGCACATGTCACATGCTTGAGGTGCTCTGCGTCCATTTATCATGCACTCATCTTCAAGCAGGGGCCCTGACAATTGTAATTGGCCAATTGTGGAGTCTCCTTGGCCCACCAGCAGGTGGCTGTTGGCTGTTTGAGGACTGAGGAGTGCAGTGTAATGTGGTTTAGGCCTCACCCCCCAACCCAACACTCAATGTTCTTGAAGTCAGCTCCAACTTGTGTGTGTCACGGTACTTAGTTCCCTCAACCCGTCTTCCACTGTCCACTAACGCCATCAGCAAATCTAGCGCATACGCGGACCAACGCCAAAATTTGAGTTTCCTTGCCCCACCATCAGGTGGCTATTGGCTGTATTAGGAGTGCGGTGTTCTGTGGTGTAGGCCTCTCCCCCAACCCCCAATGTTCTTGAAGCAGGCTCCATCTTGTGTGTGCCGTGGAGCTTAGTTCTCTCAACCATTCTTCCACTCTCCATTAATGTCATCAACAAATTTAGCACATATGTGGTCCAAAGTCCAGTGGTGTATTTTTGTTTGGGACTGCCCTAAGCAAGACAAAACTGTACCCAGCTTTCGATAGGTTGCGCTATTAGCGTAGCAGGGAAGCCGGGGTCTCAGGTGGGCTGTGCAGGATCTATGGTGGGCCCTCGGCCTGACACCCTGCAGAGCCCACCATAGATCCTGTAGAGCCAACCTGAGACCCTGCACAGCCCATCACATATCCTGCACAGGCCAACTGAGACCCTGCAGAGCCCATTACAGATCCTGTAGAGCCCACCTGAGACTGCTGTAAGTGTCAGAGTGATGCTGCAAGTGTCAGAGTGATGCTGCAAGTGTCAGATTGATGCTGCAAGTGTCAGATTGATGCTGGGTTGAGGTTTAGGGTAATCTTAAGGGAAAATTGTGCTTTGTCCATGCAGGGCAAAGCAGCAGGTTCACTTTAAAGCAGCACAAACTATTTGTCTTCACTCCAACTACACTTCATTCAGATGCCAGAGGCAAAGAAAATAGCCAGTACTTCTGGGTATGCAGCAGCATGTGACTCATTCCATGTGACAGTGCTGCAGCTTTGTGATTGGTCCAGCGCTGCCTTATGGGGGGCAGGAAGAGTCCTCAGCTCTGTATAAGCTCTGAAAGGGATAAGATGGAGCTTACACAGAGCTGGAAAGGAGCAATGGAAAGGTGAGTATGTGTTCGGCGGGACGGACATTGAACTGAAACTGTTGCTTTGTCCCAAACTGGAAAAGCACAGGACCTACGCCAGGGGTAGCCAAACTACGGCCCTGCAGCTGTGATGGAACTACAAATCCCATGAGGCATTGCAAGATTCTCACAGCCACAGACATGACTCCCGGAGAGAGATGCATCATGGGATTTGTAGTTTCACCACAGCTGGAGAAACTACTGAATGTAAACAGAAGAGTGTTCACTGGGCATGTGATGATAGTTCTCAAACTGCAGGGAAAGAAAATGCAAAGGTAATAAGCTTTATTTGCAAAGTTACATGGTGTTCCCGGGTATATTAAAAGGGAAAAAGTATTTTTAAAATACAGGTATCCTATCAACTCATGTTTTATAGAATAACTCTAACTTTTTTGGGAGCTCAGCCAGCAAATCTCAGATCATAAGCTAACCAACAAAATAGACCAGGGTGGACTAGTGACGTTCAGCAATTCCTGGATGGAAAACTGGAATAGTGAGCAGGTAAGTTGATCCTTGATGGAAAGCTGGGATAGTGAGCAGGTAAGTTTACCCTGGATGGAAAGCTGGGATAGTGAGCAGGTAAGTTGACCCTGGATGGAAAGCTGGGATAGTGAGAAGGTAAGTTGACCCTGGATGGAAAGCTGGGATGGTGAGCAGGTAAGTTGACCCTGGATGGAAAGCTGGGATAGTGAGCAGGTAAGTTGATACTTGATGGGAGGCTAGAATAGTGAGCAGGTAGGTTGATCCTGGATCGAAAACTGGAATAGTGCAGGTAGGTTGACCCCCTTGTATGCATCTCATGTCTTAGTTTTCAGGTTTGTCTGGAGTGCAAATTTAAAGACACCGGTGCAAGATAATTACAAAAAAAATCTGTGCTGCCCCCAGCACCAAAATCTCATCATGTCTCAGATAAGCTGAAAATGAAAACAAACATTTGACCGGTTGCTTTGGGCAACATTGCTTTTCCCTCATGCCAAGCTTGACAGCGAGCAACATAATAATTTAGAGGAGTCTACCGTAAAGTTAAAGTGTATATATATAGCCCAAACTTTTTTTTTTAAGTTTCGGATAGAGCGGGGGAGGGTTAGAACCCCTTAGAGTCACATTGTATCTCTCCCTATAGTGTTCCCACTAGGAGGAGCCATTATCACCGAGAACCATAAAGTGACGGCAAGTCCAAAACTTTACAGTTGTAAAGTTGTAAATATGTCCTTGGGATCATCTCTAAAAGATCTTATTGTTTATTCCAATGCAACATCTGTTTTATATATATATATATAACAGCTTAAATTCTTCTGGGAAGGCGTCCACAAGGTTTAGGAGTGTGTCTATGGGAATGTTGGACCATTTGTGAGGTCAGGTCCTGATGTTGGAGGAGAAGGCCGGGCTCGCAGTCTCCGCTCTAATTCATCCCAAAGGTGTTCTATAGGGTTGAGGTCAGTACTCTGTGCGGCTAGTCAAGTTCCTCCACCACAAACTCCCCCATCCATGTCTTTATGGACCTTGCTTTGTGCACTGGTGCGCAGTCATGTTGGAACAGGAAGGGGCCGTCCCCAAACTGTTCCCACAAAGTTGAGAGTATGAAATTGTCCAAAATGTCTTGGTATGCTGATGCCTTAAGAGTTCCCTTCACTGGAACTAAGGGGCCAAGCCCAACCCCTGAAAAACA